TGTGTTCGGCCACACATTCTAGCTAGGCAGCTAGAAGGCTGTGGTGGGGGAAAAAAACATTCATTTTGCTGTTTGTTCATAAACTACTCCCACTGGATGGAAAAAAAAATCATTTTTAACAACAGTAGCTATCTAAAGATGCAGACTTCAGACAATGCAACCCTAAGGTAAGCATTAGTAAAACAAAAGCCACCTCTTTGGAATTAGAAGAAGTTTTGCGAGTAGACAGTGAAAAACATAAAGCTGATCACAAGTCAAAGAAATAAAGTGTAAAGAAGAAGGTAGACGTAAGAACTCCAGATCGAGGCTGTGGGAGTTTCATTCTCTCATCTTTCTGCTTTCTCCGACTTCACCGTGGCTGTCACGGAGCTGAATTGTTGTCTAATCTCCACATGTGGCTCCTCTTCATCTGCTTCACTAGCGTGTGCGTTTGGACCTCTGAGAAAAGTCGTGTATACACAGCTCACTTTTTGCAAATGATAGGTGTGAATGATTTTAAGTTATATAAGCTGAAAATGTAACTAAAACCAGTCCGTGTGGACAAAGGAATCATCAACACATGAAAATGGAAATAGGATAAAGAGGAAGAAAAATGTACACTGAACTTCTCACTCTTGATTTTGGTCCTTCAAATCCCACGTTAAACTGGAACCATTTTTGTCCCATTTTCCAACCTGGCTTCTGTTAGGGTCAAACTGCTAATTCTATGTCTATAATGGGAAAAGAAAAAAAAAAGAAGCTTCCTAAGATAGACTGGAATGACTTATTCTGAGAAGTCTAGTATCTCAAATTTGCCATCACCAGACTCCGTAAAATCCTAGAAACTTTTTCACAGTGATCTAAACTTTCTTCTTACTGTCTCTGGTACCCTATTTCCTAGGGAGTCTCACTAATTCTAAGCCAAAAGTCTCCAGTTATGTGAAGCAAGGGATCAAAGGACAGCCATTATGTAAATGTTAGGCTAATCAACGTGTTCTCATTGGAAAGTTTCAACAGAAAAACTTTTGTCTTCTGTTTATTTCCATTTGGGTTTTAATATTCAAACCATGTTACATAGTTACATTTAAGCGAATAACAGATGGAGAGAGAAGTTATATATATTATTTTGGCTTGAAATGTCATCTAAACAATGTGTATGAGGCCTATTTTGCTTTTACCCATTAAATGCTTATTTACATTGTTTTCATTGTCATATATTTGAGGAGATATAACTGGATGTACGTGGGATGAATGTTATCCACTACAAAAGATAGGTTGAAGTTTTAACCCTTGGCCCCTATGGATATGACCATATTTAAAAATACAATCTTTTTTAAAGAAGTAATAGATATGAAATCAAACTAGATTAGAGGGAGTCCCAAGTCTAATCACTGGTGCCCTCATAAGTGGAGGATAATTGGTTTTTGGATGAATGTTTTAACCTTAGAGATTAAATTCTCTCTGCGAAGACAATTTAACTTCCACGGAATGAAAAATTGGAGTAACTGCACAGCTTATGTTAATCCATGTAAAAAATATTAGTCAATGATTTCATGCAAATATCTATCTCACCTATTTTTTTTTTTTTGGTTTAGAACATAGTTAAAAATTGTCCAGACCAGATTATATCATCATGGGCAGCCAGAGTTTTCCAGTCATAGGCAGGGAACCAGGATGAGGATTTTGCCAGTGACTAAGTCTGTCCCTACACATGCTGGGTCTGAGGAAATAATCACAGTGGGCAGAAGCAAACCCTTGCAGATGGATTCAGGTCATCTATCTCCTGTCCTTTATGAAGGTCTCCACTGTGATTATGGGCCATGGTGGTGTCTGGGAAATGTAAGAATTGGCATTATCTCATTCAATATCCAAATTCCCATGGAGGTCTGGGTACTAATATTTCTCTGTACCCAGTGCATGATCAGGCTGGTAAATGACTGCTGTTACCTCTGGGAAGGTTTGAAAGAAGATTCACACTATGCTTCTATGGCTACATTGTGGGGACCACCTTTAAAGGTCTTTTCTGAGGCCATTTTGGGTGTTGGAATTTGCTCAAGTCTGGGAACTGAGTGAAGAGCTATGAAACCCCATAGGAAGCACTCGTCAGGTTGCTGTCTAGAACAGTGGTTCTCAACCTTCCTAATGCAGCGACCCTTTAATATAGTTCCTCATGTTGTGGTGACCCCGGTCATAAAGTTATTTTTGTTGCTACTTCATAACTGTAATTTTGCTACTGTTATGAATCATAATGTAAATATCTGATATGCAAGATGGTCTTAGGCAACCCCTATGAAAGCGTTCTTCAACCCCCAAAGGGGTCGTGACCCACAGTTTGAGAACTGCTGATATAGAAGATTCAGAATATTTCCACTTATCTGTTAAGCTATGCTTTAAAGATTGCCCATCTAATTTCATTCTAGGGCCTCCATGATCAATTATGTTACCGGCAGGCCAGAACCTGGTTACTCCTGTCCTAAGACATACTATGTCTACTTTGGGTGCCTGGTGTTAATTACAGAATCAGTACTATTAAGAAACAGCTCTTTTGGGTCGTCAAGGTGGCTCATGCTGTAATCCAAGCACTCTGGGAGGCAAAGGTGGGCAGATTGCTTGAGCTCAGGAGTTTGAGACCAGCCTGAGCATAAGCAAGACCCCATCTCTAAAAAACAGCCCAGTGTCGTTGCTGGCGCCTGTGTTCCTAGCTAATCAGGAGGCTGAGGCAAGAGAATCACTTGAGCTGAAGAATCTGAGGATGCTGTGAGCTATGACACCATAGCACTCAACCCCAGGGAAACTGAGTGAGACTCTGTCTCCAAACACCGCCTCCTCCAAACAAAACAAAACAAAACACCCCACTCATTTAAAAGGAATGAAATAAAACTGAATAGAGATTCTTTATAAAAGTGTGGGAAATGTTGTGTGAACCCAATAAGGGATTTACCATCCCTAGCTTTGAAAGGAAAACAAGAGTATGGTGACTTTGTAATGTGTCACCTTGGCCTGCCTGATTCTATGTTCCCCAGAATTCCCCTCCCTGCATGTTTCCAGTGAGGGTGGGCCACAGAGGACATTTTGGTGTGAGATCTGGAGAGCGGAGGTAGAGGAGCAGTCATCTGATGTTCCTGACAGGCTTTTGTCACTGACAGGTGTTGTTTCCTATCTGTGGGCTCCCCTTGTTGGCACAGGTTGGTAGACATGTCTGCAGCTCCTCTTCTTGCCTTGGGATCTTCCTTTAGTTTTTCCATGTCCTGAGCTAGCTATTTAGCCACATGACAAATAGTACCAACTAAGACAGTAAAAAGACACCACTTTGTCTTTGTTCTCTGTCTTAGCATTCGCCTTCCCATCCTGACTGGTTGGTCTGCAGACCTCAAGCTCCAGCATAAGACACAGGGATGACAGTGTAGTAATTATCAAAGAAATCCACAAGCTTCCACCACATCAACCCACTCATGTGTACTCATATATGGGATTTTTAATGTGCATGAGCTGGCATGGCAGCTAGACTCCAACCTATCTCACCCACTCAGAACATTACTCTATCAATTCTTTTTCTCCTCCACCATTTTCTCCTCTCCACTTAGATTTACCAGAAATGAAGGTGAACAGTCACCATGTCTGGTGTGTCTCCTATATTTCTTGAAACTTCTCCATTCTTATTGTGGTTACCTGTGGTAGCTAGCCTCTAAGACAGATGGCCCCAGAGATCCCAACCTCCTGCTACTGATGTCCTTGTGTGGCTCTCTTCTACACTGTGTAAAGTTTGCTCTAAACCATGATTGAGACTGTGTTGGAGGCTGCAATTTAGTGTGACCACCGAAATGGGCCAATAAGCTAAGTGACGGAACTAGGCCAACTTAGGCTATCTCTACCATAGGCAATGCGTGTGATAAGAATCATATTGCCAATATAGCCCACAATGAAGAGGCGCTAGAGTTTAACTGAGCAAACCTAGTTACTCATCACTGTCTTACCAGTTAGATGAACCAACTTCATCTTCCCTGGGGCAGAATGCATACTGTGGCAGAGAGGACACGTATGGGTATAGGAAAAATCCCACTCATGGAAATCAGGACTTGAGGGAAAGTATCTCCCACTAACATTAACCCCATTAAATGGTGATCCTATCTAACTGCATGCATCTACATAATGTAACTCTAATTGGCACTACAGAGGCCTTTTGTCCTCAGAATTTGATAAGTTACTTCTAAAAAACACCTCTGTGAACATGTTTATTAGAAAGTACAAGAGATTTTTGAAAGCATTTAATTGACATAATTAAGCCACTGGTAGAACAGGGGTGAGTGGATGTTATGGAATGCTAAAAGCAGAAAGACTAACACTTTTTGGGATTTAAAGATTAGATTCTCTTTGCTGCTCAAAGCCTCTTATCTCTTTATGTTTTTCCTACTGAAATTGCTGTTTTTCCCTGACTTGACTGAAAGCTTCAGGATCACATATTAGCTATCCTGTGCCTGTCTTTCGTCAGAAAGGTTGTGGGAAAAGTTTTCATTGCCTTAGTCTTAGCAAATGCTCTTCTGTGGTATAATTACCAAGGATAGGTGGAGTATTACTGTTAGTCCTCTGGAGTTAAGTGTCACCTTTGCAGATAAAGGGATTGGGGTCTATTACTAGAAGACTGTGGAGACAGAAGACAAAAACCAAGCTGCCTAATCTGAGAATTTAAAATACTATAAAGAGATAAATTGTAAAATACTCAATTATATGAACAATTGGTGTTGATTTGGAATGAAGTAAGATCAGATCCTTGAACCTTGTACCATAAATGATCAAGTCACAACTGAACTTAACGTTTGTTTCATTACTTTAAAAGGGAGGCACATTTGGCATGACTTTTGAATTGTTCAGTATTTTCATAGTTTACACTGCTACACTGAATTTATTGAACAAGGTCTTCCTCCCATGTGAGTTCTCTGATATTATGGGGAGGGTTTATGGCAGAAACATTTTCCATATTCATTACATTTATAAGATTCCACTCCTCTATGCATATTCACAGCTTTGGTTTCATGTAAATTATTTAATTTGCTATTTTGCTGGAATTTATTGCTTTGTTGGAACTCATTCCTCGTGGGTTTTCTGATGTAAAAGGAAATTTTATTTGTGGCGAAATGTTTTCTCACATTGAGCACACTCATAGGGTTTCTCCCCTGTGTATATTTTCTGATGTTCAGTGAGAGTCCACAGCCGATGGTAGATTTTCCCACATTCATTACATTCATATGGTTTCTCTCCTGTATGAATTCTTTGATGTACTCTGAAGGCTGACTTATAGCAGAAGGATTTCCCACATTCATTACATTCATATGGTTTCTCCCCAATGTGAGTTCGCTGATGCTCAAGGAAAGAGAACTTCTGACAGAAGGTTTTCCCACATTCATTGCACCTGTGTGGTCTCCCTCTTGTGTGTGTTCTCTGATGGTGAGTGAGGGCTGATTTCCTGCACTAAGTTCTCCCACATTCATTACACTCATATGGCCTCTCCCATATAGTTCTCCAATGTACAGTGAGGTGTGAGTTTTTGCTGATGTTGTGCTCATGCTTACTAAACTCATGAAAATTCCCCTTTCTGTCCATTCTCTTATGTTCCCTGCAGTTTGACTTCTCAATGGATGTTCTAGCACATTTATCAAACATACCATGTTTCTCTCTTGTATGAGTTCTCTGATGTATAGTGAGTGTTGACTTATGGAAGAAAAATTTCCCACACTCATTACATTCATAAGATTTCTTTCCTCTGTGACTTATCTGATGTGCAATGAGGGCTGATTTAGTACATAAAAATTTTCCACATTGACTGCATTCATAGGGTTTCTCTCCTGTATGACTTCTTCGATGCACGTTGAGGGCTGACTGACAGAATGTTTTCTCACATTCACCACATTTATAGGGGTTTTCCCCTGTGTGAATTCTCTGATGTGCAGTAAGAGCTGACTGACAGAAGAAGGTTTTCCCACATTCCTTAGACTCATTTGGTTTTTCTCCTCTGTGCGTTCTTTGATGTACAACAAGGTATGATTTCTTGCTGAAGGCATTTCCACATTCCTTGCATTCATAAGGCTTCTCTCCTGTGTGTGACTTGAAATGTTCAGCCAGGGCTGACTTCCAAAAGAAGGTCTTACCACATTCATTACACTCATAGGATTTCTCCCCTCCTTGAATTTTCTGATGTACAATGAGAACTGATTTGTCAATGAAGGTCTTTCCACATTCACTGCATTCATATGGTCTCTCTCCAGTATGGATTCTTTGGTGTCGAGTGAAGCTTGTCTTCACACAGAAAGTTTTCCTACAGTCATTACAAATGTAGGGGTTTTCCCCTGTGTGAATTCTCTGATGTACAGTGAGGGTGGACCTCTTAGAAAAGGTTTTCCTGCATTCATCACATTCATTTGCTTTCCTTTCAGACTGCACCCTTTTCAGTGTAATGAAGAGTTCCCTCTTGAAGGTTTTCCCACATTTATTATAGTCAAAAGGTTGTTTCAAATTCTGACAGTTCTGGTGTAGAACAAGATATCTGTTTTGATTTCTGGCATTCCTAATTGTATTACATGTTTTCATTCCAGAATGACTTTTCTCATGCACAGTATGGAGCAGTGCCTTCTCACATCCATTTTTTCCCATCAGGAATCTTTTTATTTTCTTTGCAACAGCTATTTCTGAATTAGTTTTCAAACTATTTCCTCTTAGATCACATTCATAGGGCATTTTTTGTGAGGGAACAATAGTCATGTCCAGATTAAATGTTTTCCTTAATATTTTAGCTCTTTCTATAATTGGTGTTTTGTTGCTGAAGAATAGAGTTTGCCTCAAATGTTTGTTTCCAATTTCCTTGTCTGTTAAGGTATCATCAACTTCTAGAAGGGAGCACAATTAACAATAATTTGTGAGGTTTGAAACAGAGCCTCAAGCTGTCACCCTGGATAGAGTGCTGTGGCATCACAGCTCACAGCAACCTCCAACTCCTGGGCTCAAGCAATTCTCCTGCCTCTGCCTCCCAAGTAGCTGGGACTACAGGCACCTGCCACAATGCCTGGCTATTTTTTGGTCACAGCCGTCACTGATGTTTGGCAGGATGGACTGGACTTGAACCCACCAGCTCAGGTATATGTGGCTGGCACCTCAGCCGCTTGAGCCACAGGTGCCGAGCCAATTTGTGAGTTTTTACACATTTGCTATGAAATGAGAATTTTTCAAAAATGCCTTGCTGTGGGGGATTAGCCTTCAGGCCCAGCCACCTAGGATTAAAGAAATTTCGAGTGCAACTATCTCCTAGATTGTTGATCAGGAGAAAAACAAAAACAAAAAAATAGTAGAAAGCAAATTCATCCACACTAGCCTGTTTAACAGAGTGAAAGGGGACACAAATAACAAAGAGCGCAAGTACTTCTGACATTTTACAAGTTCATACTAAGCACAGAATCGAAAATGTAAAACCATCACGAAGAACAGTACACAAGGTATACTGGAGGGGTGGCTGATAGAGTGCTGAATAAAACACACAAGACTCAAGAGGGCACCTTAGAGAAAAACACGGAGACAGTGAGACCAGGTAAAACAGATGTCAGGAAGATGGTCAGTACTATCAAAACACTCAAGAGGGCATAAATCTGAACTTTTGGCAGTGACACAGGAACTCTAGAACTTGCATGAACTGAAAGGGGAATGGAAAGTAAGATTTCTGGCTGAGCAGAGTTGGGCCTAGAGGGAGACAGGCAAGACAGCTAGGGTACCTGCACAACCCTGAGAGTGAGTGTCTTCTTAAATTTTGTGTGTGGTAGTCACCTTATTTGCCTTACCCTACTCCCAAGGTAAGCACTGAAAGGGAAACTGAGGTATTTCTAAGTTAAATGATGGAGAAAAAAATGGAAGGCAACTAGAAAGATTTCCACAGATCTATGAATATCTGAATATTAAAAAAGTCTATGAAAATGGTGGGTGGGGGAAAGTAGGCAACAAAGAATGCTACAGAAGGTTAGGCCGCAGGCATGTCCAACCTTTTTTCTTCTCTGCCACAGATTGGAAGAAGAGTTGCCTTGGGGCCACACATTAAATACATAAACACTATTTAAGAGTTGTCTTGGGTCACTATTAAATACATAAACTCTCCCCACTATCAAAAGCTGGTTATCCATAAAATGTCTGTGTATACTTTTCATGACAGCCAACACTGCAAATAAGCAAAAAGTTGTTCTCACAAAACTAGCACATGGCTTGTGGGCTGCAGGTTGGACACTCCTGGATTTTAAGGGGTACAGTAAGAGAGGAAACTGAATTCTGGGGATAGATCACTTAGTGGAAAAAATCTTTATAAACTTCAACTAAAGGGGTACATTTATTTGGGATGAATGTTTAAGGTATATACAGCATACATTAATTATCTTCAATTGCTTCCGAAGGTCTGAGGCCAAAAAAAAAAAAAAAAAAAAGGGAAATTCATGAAAAACATTACAAAAAGATGCCACTGTGATCACGGACCACCTTGAAACTCTCATTTCCACTGGTTTCCTCTTGCTCCTTTATCCTTTGCTTACCTGGATAGTTCTGACTTGAAAATTCCTCCACCATCTATGGTTCTTTTCCTTGCTCCAATTTGAAGATCACATCTGGCTTACTAACATGACATCCTGTTAAAGGGAAATTACACCAAACGTGGACCAAGCTCTTTGAACTTCAGGGACTCTGAAGAAAGTGCAGCTTCAGAAGCTGTACAATGAAGATGCCTAGCAACAGCTCAGTGAAGCTAGAACATTTTGGTGAAGGATGGAAGAAGGGCAGTGAATACACACAAATATCTCTGTTGCCTAAAAGAGTTCAATCATCTTGCTCCCCTGATGCTTATAGCTACATAATTAAATTCTGAAACTTCAACATGTTTTTGTTCTTGGCAGTTGCACAGGGAAATTGTATTTACCCACTTAGACTAGGTAGCTGTAGTTCTCCAGCATCACATCTCTGTACAGGAATCTCTGAGCAGGGTCCAGGTGCTGCCACTCCTCTTGGGTAAAGTCTACAGTCAGGTCCTTGAATGAAACTGATGTCTAAAAGGGTATGTTTAATCTGAGGTGGTCAGAATTGAGTGACATCAAATATACTGGAACACCAAGTACAAGGAGACCACTGTCACAGCTAATGGAAAGCTATAAAGAGTTATACTCTGGTGGACGGTCAAAAATTAGAAACTTCCTGCTGCTGTGTTTATTTTAAAAATGAATTTTAAAAATTTACTGAGCTTATACCTTTTCCTGGAGCTGTTCTAATTTTTTTAGATTACTAACTCATATCGAATACTGACCTTGCTCTCAAGGAGCACACATTCTGACAGGGTGGCATAAGTAGAAAAGAGTCAAGTGATAGGCATATAAGCAAGATAAAGGGGGTAATCACAAAAGGAGAAAGCTATTTGTTTGTGTTACCAGACTTCTCTGAGGGGGGATAACTTTGGTCCTGAAATATAAACAGTGTGTTAGGTAGGAATGTGACCATTAAGAAATACAGACAGACTGTCAGTCATAGTAACTCATGCCTGTAATCCTAGCACTCTGGAGGCTGAGGCAGGATGATCAGATGATGCCAGGAGTTCAAGATCAGCCTGTTGCTCAGTATGGGTGACTCCTTCCCTGGGGGCACGCTGCACACCTGTGCAGGCATTTTTGGCTGTCAATGTTCTGTGGGATGCTGTTGGCATTTGGTAGAGAGAGAGGGAAGGAGGGATGTAGATGTCCTGCAACACGTAGGACATCTCACACAGGAAGGAAATGTCCCGAGTCTTGCACATGTTCCTAACATCTTCATGTAGATGAAACATGTCTATAATCTGAACCTAGAACTTTTCTCCATTCTACACTTGAACACATAGTATGTGTGTGTATAATGTATATATATAATGTATACATTTGTATATATAATGTATACAAAATGTTCCTGAATGCAGTGATGGATACATCAAGGGAACACTGTATTTGGTTTGGATTGGAAGTATAGGGATTGCCACTCTTCTGAAAGATTTCACTAATGGCAGTGCTACTTGTGGTATGTGAATCTTGAAACACCATGCCTCTATCAGTGTAAATTTGGAACTGTCAAACTTACGGTGATTTAATCTATAGGTATAAACATGAGACTACTTTCCTTTTAACATATCTGAGCAATTCCATATTAAAATGCATGCTATGAAATTTTTTAAATTACTTTGTTTTTATTTCTCCTATATATTAGAGTACTATTGATTTTTCAAAATTACATGAATAGGTTCTATTACCTATGATTTTTCAAAATAAGATAAACGGAGGATGGGTTTTAGTTGGGATCTCTAGAAAACAGAGCCTAAGGCAAAGACTAAGATGGTATCATTTTATCTGGGAGATCCAAGCCAGGGCAGTGAGGGTAAGGGAAGAAAGGATGTAAGCAACTAGATGAGGGGGCATAGGCATGCTGCCCACCACTTCACAACAAGCCCAAAGGGGCAGCAGGTTCCAGGTTCCTCAGCAGAAGCAGGCAGATAGCACATAGGATTTCTCCAGAGGAGAAACTAATCTTGGAATAGTCCATGGAAGAGAGAAAGAAAAGGGAATTGATCGGCCCACCTCCCTCATTTCCCATTTCTCTTTATTCAAGGTTTACCTCAAGGTGAGTTAACTTGCCTACACTTCCAGGTTGCATCATCTGGTTCTTCCACGTGGTCCCTGAGGAAACTAGATACCACACCTTATGGTATGTTGTTTCATCCAAGTCTAAAAGAGGAGGCCGCCTGGTGTGGGTGGGTGGTATCAACTAAGACAGATAAAGGAGATGGTTGAATATGGAAGGATTTTTGTCCCAATATAGCTTGCAAATATGTTATATAAATGGATATGGGTCTGGCGGAGTTGGACACCCATCTCAGCAGTTTGTATCATTTGCGTAATACCCATCTCTGTTGGCTTGTGAGCTCCATGAGGACAGAAACTACTGTAAACCTTTCATCCAAGCTGTGAGGAGACCATCTAGCACACTGTGGCACACAATAGTTTGATTACTATGCAGTTGTGCAATTAAAAAAGAAGTAGGAAAAGGTCATGGCAAGAATAGCTTTCTGGGTCACACCAAAGAGAATGAACTTTTAGCCTCTAAGTGGTTTTAGAGCCACTCGTTTTATTTCTGTACCAGGAGGCACGATCAGGATGGTATTTCAGAAGGCTGGCTCGGTGGGAACAGTCTCGAGCAGGAGAGGGAAGGAGGTAGGCAGACCACGGAGAAAACTACCCTGATAATCCAGGAGAAATTGAGACGGGTGAAGTAGGGAGAGGACAAGTTCAAGAAGTGTTTACAAGACGACATTAGCAAGGCTTGATAACTGGAAATGATAGCAGTGAGGAAAAGGAGAGTTTAAGATGGACTTCATTTTCTGGCTTGTGTAACTGGCCAGATGGTAGTAGGAATGACAGGGAACAAAAAGGAAGAAGTAAATTAAGCGGATTGTAAATACTATTTCTATTTTGGACATGAAGACTCCAAGGGCCTTCTGGACATCCTTACAGAGATGTTCTGCAAGAATCTCAAGCTGAGGTTCTCCGAGATAGAAAAAGATTTCAGTTGCAACTAGTTTTGCAAACTATAAAAGTGAAGAAAAATAAGTAAGAATAATGGGCTCACAATGTCTACGGAACAGAAGGGAAGAAACTGTATCAAAGATATAAAGAAGAAATGACTCAGAGCTAAAAAGAGAATCAAGTGAGGGTTATCACAAAAATTACCAGAAGTGCATTTCAGGGAGGGGGTACTGCCAAATGTAACAAGGAGTTTGGTCAAGTACAGACCAAAAAATACCTGCTGGGTTTGAAAATATTTAGGTCACTGCTAACTTTTACCAGAATAGATCCATGGAAGTGATAGGGGCAGACACAAGACTGCATGAAGTGACTTGAAATAACATGAATAAGGAGGGAAGTTTTACCTACCGAATACTGAATTGTTCCCTGGACAACCTGTTTTAAAAGTACAGCTGAAAAGAAACAGTTTATAGGGCATTATTTTAGAAACATGCAATCCATTTCTTCTAGATTTTACTGCTGGATTTCAGACAACCATCGAAAGCTGCCTGTTCAGATAATGAATTGGCCCCCTGTAACTTACTCACAGGAAACCCACTGCATTTCTTTCACAGCTGTTTTTGGCAAAGCTGCTTTAAGACACTTACTCAAAGATCATCTAAGACAATGTTACACATACATGACAGGAAAAGCATACTAATAACCAGTGTAAAACCTAGCTCATATTTTTGGGGCCTTTCTGGAACTTCAGTAAGTCGATAGGAATATATGATTTCTATATCTGTATGTCAAGTTTTCTAGTGCTGATCTGATACTCTTCTCTGATGGTGAATTTTATAGATTTCTACTATTTCATCTGAATGTGCCAACTACTATAAACCTCTCAAAATCGACTCCAATAGGAGGGAAGTAAATCCCCTAAACAACTTACCTGGAAATTGTTCATTTTCTTGAAAAAGGTCCAAGAGTGGTGAAAAGCAGAGCTGGGTAAGGAAGAGCGGGGAATGGAATCATGACGGGTCTGGCTAACACAGCAGCTCTTATAATTACCTACCAAGACAGCCACACACCCATTTAAGGAAATGGCCCTTTGATCAATCTGGTTCAGGAAGCCGCAGGTTGGGGGATTATTCACTTGTCCATTAATAGTTCTACAATGATCACATAGAACTTTTCTAACCAAGTAAATGGAAATAATTTTTTTCTACTGAGTTACTATCAATTTATGCCTCCTTTGAAAAAATTAAATATAACCTAGGAGTCCAATAATACAAGATTAGATCAACAAAAGCTAAGCTTGGAACACTGTGTCAGCATTAAAATTGATTCTATGATTAAAATATTTCTTGTCATAGGGAAATGTTGGCGTTATCTCATGTACTTATTTTCAAGTGGTTTAAATAACCACTTGAGATTAGAGAATCCAGTAAGAAGGAATGCAATTTTTTTTTTTTGATACAGTATCACTTTGTCCTCCCTGGTAGAGTGCTATAACATCATAGCTCACAGCAACCTCAGACTCTTGGGCTCAAGAGATCCTCTTGCCTCAGTCTCATGGGTAGCTGGGACTACAGGTGCCTGCCACAATGCCCAGCTATTTATTTATTCATTGAAGTTTTTTTTTTTTGGCTGGGGCTAGGTTTGAACCTGCCACCTCCAGTATATGGGGTCAGCACCCACTCCTTGTGCCACAGAAGCCACCCAACATGCAGCTACAGGGTCTTGCTCTGGCTCAGGCTAGTCTCGAACCCTTGAGCTCAGGCAATCTACCTGCCTCTGCCTCCCAAGTGCTAGGATTACAGGCATGAGCCACCACACGCGGCCAAATGCAAATATTTTAAGATGCTGGTCTTTTTGAGTGTTTGGCCTTCCTTAGTTGCAATTTCAGAAGAGGACCTTTCGATAAAAATTCGTTTTAACTTAAATGTGTTAAAGGACAGAGTCCTGACCTGTGAATCAATACACTGGAATTCAATTCGTGGCTCTGTCTCTAACAAACTGAGTACTGGATAAAATGTTTACCTTCCAAGTCATAATTTCAAAATTATGGCAAAATTAGGATAAATTGAACAGTTTTCAAAACCTCACCTTTATCTCTTGTGTGATTTTGTTATATAAAGGGGGAATTCGATAAATCCCAGGTGTGACGATGAACACCGTTTGAGCAGCTCCTAACAACAGAGTCCGGAGATCGTAGGGTGGGGCATGTATGTGTTTAGGAAGAGATGAAGAAATCATTTCTTTAGTTCATAGCTAGTACCCCTTCCCACCAACCACCCGCCTGGCAGGTCCTACAACAAAGTGTCTTTTCCTGTGAAATCAGGGCCCCGTCCGTTCCCTTCAACTGCAGCTCACATCCTTCCTCTGAAAGATGAACTAAAGGTCTGCTGAGCCACGGTAATCAACGGCTGCAGGTCTAAGCGCCTCGCAGAATTTCTGGAATCAGGGTTTAGCCTGTGGATGCGCAAACCTTTCACCTTCACAGACGCATGAGCCACCACACGCACCTTCTTCAGAGCACCCTTCAAGTGGGTCCCAGCTACAGCTAGCCCTGAGGCCCGCGGTCAGGAGCCCGGCCCTGCGCTCGCTGCCGTATTTCTCGACCGCTGGACCCGCTCGGGCCTCCCTAAAGAC